AAGTTATTCTAAATTGTTGCAAATAGAAGAGAGAGTCTTTAGGGGAGTTGAGTGGAAATATAATTATCTTTACTACTCAGTTAGAGGTAATATAAAAGGTGTCTAGTCAGTAGATAAATAGCAGCCTTTATACAGATATATACACTATATGGTTACTAGTATCCAAGTGTATCCTTATAGGAGTATAGATAGAGTTAATAAGTGAGCACGAATAGTGCTTAGTTTGATGGAAACCCTACTAGAAACGATGTCTCAATAAACCAGTTAAAGCATAGATGTATATATAGATATATAGAATAGGTGCTAGATAGGTGGTTGGGGTTGAGCCTGGGGGTTAATGTGCAGTTGTCTCTTAGTAATGAGATGGGTTAAAGATTCAAACCCCAAATATATAGAGGCAGCCGCCAAACAGGAGAATTCATCCCACGAACAAAGACCACTTAGATAATCTACACTATCCACATCTGCATTCCCTAGAATAAACTCCTATGTAAACTGTACACTGGTGCTTCAAAGCCACGTAGATTTCTATAGAGAGTCCACGTCTGCATTCACTATAGTAGACTTCTGTATACACAGTGTGCTGCTGCTTCGAGGCAGTCTAACGCTAAAGATCGCTGACTAGATGGTATCTCCGATGACACTATGACTAACTCCTACTGCTGCCACTAGCTACTGCTGACAGGATGGTTAAAGCTGAGAAGACCCGGTAGATACTCAAACTAAATCCCCCAACATAAAATCGGCATCCCCCAGTATTAAAATAAAAAACGACTAACGCTCGACGCGCGTTTCGGCGCGATCACACGCCTTTATCAAGAGCTCCTGGCACAGCTGAGAGAGGGAGGGTAAGTATATACCGGATAAGGTCCCGCCCATGTGTTCACACATCCCAATCAGCTTGCTTGTTGGTGAAGTCCCGCCCATGTATTCGCATATTCCAATCAGCTTGATTGTCGGTTAGCTAGGGGCGGGGTTTCACCCTGATCACGTACGCCTCATTCAAGAGGTTTGTCTCACAGAGTAACTTTTATATATGTATACATCATTAGCTATCACCATGGTGACGCAACCAACCCAACACGATACAGGTTGTCAGTCCGCACAAATTCCTCGATTTGAAAATCCAATAGTTACATAAATTAAATACATATTAGCCATGTATTCAAAGAAAGCTTGGCATTAGTAATCTTCCAGTGGATAGATTTAACTTCAATTTAAAAGACATTTAAATTGTAAAGAGAGAATATATACTACAGGATAATTACTACTGTCAAATTTAAATATAGACAAGTATCCTAAATGATCTCTCATTTCTATCTATCGCTCACTATTTTTGCCAATGATTACTAATATATCAAGTTATGATGTTAAAGACTTAAGTGAGAATTAAGACCCAATTCGTTAAGGGGCCATCATCCACATTAGTTAAATATTACTCCATCATATGTGTTCATTATATGTATATTAGGTCATGAGTATTACTCACACAACTACATGGTGATAGCGACTCATAAAATGTACCCATGAGTAGACAAAGGTGTGTAGTCATAAAAATGCTGTGATCATGATCTCTAGAGACTATATCAGTGCCAGGTTAAGGTATAAATACCAAAAATTATAAATAATGATCCAAAAACATTTTTTTTTTTTTTTTTTAATAATTCTTATTATTGTATACAGACAATGTGTGTAGGTCATCAGAGGATTTTAATTATATGTATTTGTATGTATTCCCAGACTATATAGTCAGTGTTGATAACTCCATCCAGACTACATTTGGGGACCAGATATTTATATGTGTTCCCAAACTTTATAGTCATTATTGATAGTTCCATCCAGACTATAATTGGGGACCAGACACTATGGGAAAACCTTATAGTAAAGATTAAATGTAGGGGGAAAAGGAAAAACCTTCATTCAAGCCATTGGGGCTAAGAGATTTTAATTTATATATCCACCTACATTCTTTCTGGCGTAAAAGTTTATCAAAATCTCCTCGCCTCTGATCGCGTTTGACCCATTCTAATCCACAAAACCTAATTGCACTGGAATCACCTGCATTGCAAATTTTTAGGTGTCTCGAAATTGGTGTTTCCATACGGTTTTTTGGAGATCTTACATGTTCTTTGATCCGTTCCTTGAATGGTCTAAAGGTTTTGCCCACATATAGCATTTTGCAGCTACAGGTAAGAAGATATACCAGTCCCGCGGTGTTACAGTTGAAAAAATGGGTGATCTCAAAGCTCTGTTGTCCAGCACTATCCTGGACTCTTTTTGAGTCCCGTAGAATATACTTACAAGCAACACATCTACCGCACCCATAGGAGCCACAAGGGGGATTGCGGCCCAACCAAGTCACTTTATTCTGTTTAATTGAAAAGTGACTCGGTACCAACATATCACGGAGATTTTTTCCACTACGCGCTGTGATGGTTGCTCTAGGGTTGAGGACCTCTTTAAGATGGACATCCTTTAAAAGGATAGGCCAAAATTTCTCAATTGACTTTTTTACTGTATTCCATCCTGTGTCAAAGGTTCCAATCATACGGATAGTCTTATTTGATGGTGTTTGCTTTGGTTGATCCGAGATAAGGTCATCTCTATTAGTTCCTAGGGCTCTTTTATATGCCCTTTTAAGGCATTTATTCGGGTAGCCTTTTTCCCAAATTGTTGTCTTAATAGAACCGCTTTTTCCTTAAAGTCCTGTAGGTCTGTACAGTTCCTACGAACCCTCAGATATTGTCCTACCGGGATGCCCTGTTTAAGGGGCCTAGGGTGGAAACTATCCCATCTAAGGAATGCATTAGATGCTGTTGGCTTCTTAAAGAGAGTTGTTTCCAAGGAGCCATTCGCTTTAATGAAGATAGTTATGTCTAGGAAATTCAATGTGTGTCCCCCAAATTCTGCTGTAAATTTAAGGTTATCATCATTTGTATTCAACAGGGAGACAAATTGAATAAAATCCTCTTCATTACCCAACCAGACAATAAAAATATCGTCTATATACCTAAGCCATGTATGTATTTTAGGTATATAGATCGAGAGAGTACTGGACTTCATGACTTGTAACTCCCACCAGCCTAGATGGAGGTTAGCATAGGAGGGCGCACACGCCGTACCCATTGCTGTCCCCCTTATCTGGTGAAAGAATTTGTCATGAAATAAAAAGTAGTTATGAGACAGGATGTAACCTAATAGTTTTAATACAAACCCGGTATGCAGGGTATGATTGGGACCTCTCTGGTCCAAAAAATATCTTGTGTGTTCAATAACCCGTTCATGGGGGATTGAGGAATATAAGGCCTCAACGTCCAAACTACAGAGCTTTGCTGACGTTGGTAGCTGAAGACTCGAGAATAATGACAGTGCTTGCTTTGTATCTCGAATATACGAGGGTAATTGTTCAACGAAAGGTCTTAATATTTTTTCTATATAAAGACTCCCATTCTGGGTTAAATTGTCAACCCCGGAGACGATGGGACGACCAGGTGGGTATTGTGCATTCTTATGGATTTTGGGCAGGCAGTAGAAGGTTGCTATCAAGGGGACATCGATTCAAAATGAATTCGTATTCGTCTCTGGACAGCAACCCCCCACTGCGGCCCTCATCCAGTATTTCCTTATATTTTGTAAGAAAAAGATTTGTAGAGTCAGTTTTCAAAACCATATAGGTATCATTATTTCCCAAGACCTTCTGGACCATATTTTCATAGTCAGATGCATTCATAACCACCACTTTGCCTCCCTTATCTGCTGGTTTAATGACCAACTGGTCATTCTCTTTAAGTGACTTAAGAGCTGTGCCAGGAGCTCTTGATAAACGCGCGTCGAGCGTTAGTCGTTTTTTATTTTAATACTGGGGGGTGCCGATTTTATGTTGGGGGATTTAGTTTGAGTATCTACCGGGTCTTCTCAGCTTTAACCATCCTGTCAGCAGTAGCTAGTGGCAGCAGTAGGAGTTAGTCATAGTGTCATCGGAGATACCATCTAGTCAGCGATCTTTAGCGTTAGACTGCCTCGAAGCAGCAGCACACTGTGTATACAGAAGTCTACTATAGTGAATTCAGACGTGGACTCTCTATAGAAATCTACGTGGCTTTGAAGCACCAGTGTACAGTTTACATAGGAGTTTATTCTAGGGAATGCAGATGTGGATAGTGTAGATTATCTAAGTGGTCTTTGTTCGTGGGATGAATTCTCCTGTTTGGCGGCTGCCTCTATATATTTGGGGTTTGAATCTTTAACCCATCTCATTACTAAGAGACAACTGCATATTAACCCCCAGGCTCAATCCCAACCACCTATCTAGCACCTATTCTATATATCTATATATACATCTATGCTTTAACTGGTTTATTGAGACATCGTTTCTAGTAGGGTTTCCATCAAACTAAGCACTATTCGTGCTCACTTATTAACTCTATCTATACTCCTATAAGGATACACTTGGATACTAGAAACCATATAGTGTATATATCTGTATAAAGGCTGCTATTTATCTACTGACTAGACACCTTTTATATTACCTCTAACTGAGTAGTAAAGATAATTATATTTCCACTCAACTCCACTCCAGACTCTCTCTTCTATTTGCAACAATTTAGAATAACTTTATACGATAGATTTATATTCTATGGATACTATTGATTTAATTCTAATCTGTATGCTTTAAAATATATAAGAGTCTATGACAATCTATGTGGCTTTATCGATATATAGGGAGTGGCTTTGTGATAATCTGTACTCTATATTGTACTCTCTATTGTAAATTTTAGTCTAAGAGACTTTAGCCACTCCATTACGGTCTGAAGATATCCACACTGCATCTACCCAGTTTTTATCTCACTTGTTTTTTTCACAAGTATTTCACTATTACTACACTTTATAGGTTTTTGTTTTTTTGTCCATATGCGGCTTAATAAAGGTTATACCCAATAATTATTTTACTATCTTTATGAGATATCTTTAGGTGGAATGGATGTCCAATTTTTCCATCTTTAATGGAACAACCATTTCACTTTAGCTCTTTTCTTTTGCTTTATGCGAATGTATGTAAAAATCTCCTTGTTATGAAGAAGGTATTTTTTCAGGAGGTCGGGAAATGGTAGTAGACCCTCTATTCCCAGGAGGTGTGATATTCTGGTCACCCCTTTTCCTGTCCATCCCTGCAGGGGGAGGTCGTGAGTGTGTCGCTGGAGACTAGTCAACGGGGCAAGGGCTTCTATATTCCCACCAGTCATTTTTGGGGCCCATCTGAGCCACACCTGAAGTGATCCCTTCGATGTCGTGAGTATCTTGGGATGGTGGGGTTGGGCCTTTGTCGGAATCCACAATAGGTCACCGAGGGATAGAGGTGCGCTGAATGCGCTCTCCAGATGGTACCACATTGGGTAGTCTGAGGAAGTCAGGAGGCGTGCCATCTGGGACAGGTGTGTCGCTAGATAGTATTTGGTTATGTGGGGCACTCCCACCCCGCCCCCTCCCATGACCATACTAATGTTCGCCAGAGATACCCTTGGTTGTTTTCTTTTCCATATGTGCGCATTAATAAGGCTTTGGAAAGCCCGGAGGGTGTACTTAGGGAGGGTAATCGGTAGGGCCCTGAAAAGCAATAGTATTTGTGGAAGGATGATCATTTTGATGGCATTTATTCGTCCTAACCAAGATGTGTTTTTGGTGCCCCAGCTATCCAATCGTCGCTCTATGTCTCCCATCAGTTTCCTATGGTTATGTCTTATGAGTTTGGTTTTTGAGGGCGTCAACTGTGTGCCTAAATAAGAGAGGGTATCCTTCCTCCATTCGAAGGGGTGAAGTGCTTTTAGAGACTCAAGGTGGGATCTGGGCAGGTTTATGGGTAGCACCTGCGTCTTTGCTACATTGTTTTTATAGTAAGATACCCGGCCGTAGTCGTGCAAAAGGTGCAGTAAAGCGGGGAGGGAGTCTGAGGGGCTGGTGAGAAAGAGGAGAATGTCGTCCGCAAACACTGCTAATTTATGTTGTCCAGTTGGGGAGGGGACCCCCGTGATGTTAGGGTTATGTGTATGCTATTTTAAACTTTATGTAATGCTTGTTAAATAAAAATTTGTCCGTAACCCTGTTATATTATACTAGAGTTTAGATTTACTAGTAGAAATTAGGGGTTGGTTAAGAGTTATGTGAGTAGAGGTTAGAAATTGGGTTCCATCATGCTTTTACAGCTATAATGCTGGCAAAACATTATGAAAGGTGTAGTCCAAAACATCTGGAGTGCTGAAGGTTGCCTATCCCTGGACTAGTGGTTGCTGCTACCGAGTTGAAATTACAGATTAGGTTGTCACCAACCAGGACCCCTGTGTGCCTGAATGATGATAGGAGTCTCAGAGTGGAAATGGACAAAACAGGTTTTCTTCGGCAGGGTAACCACATGCCCCGTGGTGTTGAGCAGGAGCTGATATTAAGCAGATAAGTATCCGGTACTAGAAACAAGGTAAGACTAGAACAGGCACCAAATAAGACAAGAATAGAGGAACCCAGAACCAGAGCAGGGCAGAAAGCAGAAACCAGAACATGTACACAATACATGAGGGAAACATGGACAGGGCAGCACATTATAGGACTGTACAGGAACTGGGAATACAAGACAAAATAAAACAAGACAAGAGATACAAGGCAAAACAAGAGGAGACATACCTAAGTACTGTATATGTAATAAACATTGGAGATTTAAACATACATAAATGGCCAAGATGCATGCAGCCCACCACTGCGCCAAAGTACTCCAATTACGGTGTGTCCCAACTGCCTAGATATGCATGACTAAATAAAAAAACAATAAAACACACACAGTACTTACCTGCAAAGAAAGGAGCAGAGGAAATGAGCCCACTGCTTGCATGAACAGACTGAAACAAAAATAATTAATGGCAAAGGAATGGGTGTGGCAACAAAAACCAAACATTTAAAGGAATCCAAGAGACTGGGAATTCCAGGAACGGAATAATGGAATGAACCCAGAAAACCCAGCATAAAGAAAACGAGACATAGAATAGAAAACCAGTAAAACCAAGATAAACTAAACAAGAATTGTAAAATAGTACTGGACAGTGGCGTACTAAAGGGGGGGCGGGGGGGGCGGTCCGCCCCGGGTGCCACCAGGGTGGGGGGGTGCCATGACCAGCCCCGCCGCCCCCCCCATGCTGCAGCCGCCCGAGCGCTCTGTACAGAGCCTCAGGCGGCTGCAGCTTTGCCCGGGCGGTGCGTCCATGAGGGCGCAACCTGAGGAGAGGCTGACCAGGAGGGAAGCACTCAGCGATCAGCGCTCCCTCCTGTCAGCTTCCTTTGCTGTAGCGTGGCCGAGCCCTGCAGCATGCTGGTCCGACGGGTACAGAGAGGCTGTCTCCTGAGGCGACTAACAGGAAGTGCACACTGATGTGCACTTCCTGTTAGTCCGCCGGTACAGGAATAGAAGCTCCCTGTACCCGCTGACTATACAGGGCTCGCCACGCCACAGGAGGTAGGGGGGGAGGGGGGTGGTGGTGAGAAAGAGAAATGGGGGGTGAGAAAGGAGGGGGTGAGAAAAGAAAGGAGGGGGTGAGAAAAGAAAGGGGGAAGAGAAAGGAGGGGGGTGAGAAAGAGAAGGGGGTGAGAAAGAGAAGGGTGACAAAGAGAAAGGGGGTGGAGAGAGGGTGAGAAAGAGAGGGGTGAGAAAGAGAAAGGAGGGGGGGTGAGAAAGAGAGGTGAGAGAGAAATTAGGAGGGGTGAGAGAGAAATTAGGAGGGGAAGAGAAATTAGGAGGGGGGAGAGAAATTAGGAGGGGGAGAGAAATTGAAATTAGGAGGGGGGAAGAGATATTAGGAGGGGGGAAAGAACAATTAGGGGGGGAGAAATTAGGAGGGGGGTGAGAAAGAGAAATTAGGAGGGGGGGAGAGAAATTGAAATTAGGAGGGGGGAAGAGATATTAGGAGGGGGAAAGAGAAATTGGGGGGGTGAGAAAGAGAAATTGGGAAGAGGAGAAGGAAATTGGAGCGGGAGGAGAGATTGACATTCATCACATACACACAATGCACCCCTTGCACACAGAAAAACACACAATGCATTAAACACACAGACACACATACACAAGCAATGCAACCGTTACACACAATGCATCCCTTACACACACAGAAACACACAATGCATTCATTACACACACTCAATGCACCCCTTACACACATTCAATGCATCCCATACATACACAGAAACACACCTTGCAGCCCTTACACATACAAACACAATTTCACACAATGCATTCCTTACACACATATCAGGACATCCCTTACACACTCCACCCCCTGTGAACAAACTCATTGGTGGAACATGAAGGTGGACCCTGGGACCCAGACCTTGAGCTGTAAAGGACCCCCAAAAAATGGAGCTGCTTCCCGTTCTCCCAGAACATTGATTTTTGTGACCACAGTTACAAACCGCCTCCAGAGAGCCTGTTCTGCACCAGACCAGTGGAGCCAGACTGCAGCTAGAGCCCATCATCATCCTCATCTGGTTGTAAGTAGGCAATCTAGTATATTATTCGTGGCACCAAGCTCTAATTTACCTCACATTAAAGAAACACCAGAAGTCCCCAGAACCACTTCAGCTTAATGTAGTGGTTCTGGTGTCTATAGCCTGTCCCTGCAGGCCTTTTAATGTAAACACGGCGGCAATGCAGCACTGGCGTTAGTTAACATGGCAAATCATATGGCTGGGGCATTGTGATGTCACATGGGGGGCGGCAAACTTTACTTTTGCCTTGGGCGGCAAAAATCCTTGTACCGGCCCTGGCTGGAGGGAGCTGTGTGAGCTGTGGCCGCACACTGTCCCATGGTAGTTAGTGTGCCGTGCGGCCAGTACAGCTCACTCAAGCAAACAGCTGGATAAACTGGTCGCGACGGAGGAAATGTAGCGTGACCGTCTGCCCGTGACTGTGTGTGACCGTCTGCCTGTAACTGAGTGTGCGGACTGTCTGTCTGTAACTGAGTGTGTGACTGTCTGCCTGTAAATGTGTGTGTGGGCTGCAGGGATTTTGTAGAAGGGGGTGGGGGTTTTGTATTGGGACAGGAGTCTTCATAAGGGGGGATAAGCAGGGGATTTGTGGAAGGGGGTTGCGGGGGTTTTGTAGACGGGGCAGTACAGGATTTGTAGAAGGGGCAGGACAGAGGTTTTGTAGGAGGGGCGGGGCAGGATAAGGGTTTTGTAGGAGGGGCTGACAGCGGTTTTGCAAAGTTTACAAATTGTAAAAAAAAAAGAAAGAAAACCTTTTACATTTTTTACAGGTTTTTTCTGCGGGAGGTGGCAAGCACAGGATCCGCCCCGGGAGCCAACTGCTCTAGGTACGCCCCTGGTACTGGATATCAAGGCCAGACACCTGTGCAAAATGGAATAGGACGTGACATAGGTTGGGTTTATAGTGTGGGTTGTACTGTATCCTATAGTCACAATTACAATTATTTAAGCAACGAAATGCCAGGCTGATAACGTTGGTACTTTTAGGCCTTAGCCCATGACGTGCACTTATCCTGTGTTTACTATCTCTTAGGTGTTTGGAATATACTCTACATACTGTGATATCATTTTTGGAAAGGCATAATTGATTGTAGTTGCAGCCCATGAAATGTAGTGTGCAGTACTCTAAAATCAAGGTAAAATCGGCAGAATATTAAATACTGTGTATCATCTACCATCATTTTTGACAGTGAATGATTGTAGTTGAAATTCTCTATCTAGATATACCCTCAAATGTGTATGGGCTAAACGCAGGATCACTGTGTCCGATCTTCGCTTATCCAGTGAATCCTGTCACAGCTGTTTGTTCACTGTATCTCCCTTAACAATACAGTGACACAAGGAATGTGCTACATCAAAAACAAATGGATCTCATACAATTAAAAAAAATCACTTTAGTACAACAAGTCATGATTAATGTCTGCAGCCTCATACCACATTTTATCTCCACCACTGTAGCCCTCTCATTCATTTTCAGATTTTGAGAAAAGTATTAATTATAGTCACTGAAACATCCACTGGAATACCACATAAACACTAAATGCAGATCCTTTTGTGAAGTTACTCATTAGACTTGCATTAGACTGGTGCCATGTTCTGAGTATCTCCTGTGCCCAACACCTATGACCCTACATTCCGCTGCCCATAGGATGAAGGATGGGATGAAGGACAATTGTGCCTTTACTTGGTTCTACTGGGGATGAGAAAACAATTATCTTGTTGTAGTTGATCTGGTAATTCATAGTTACATGCACATTTTTTTAATTTGAACAATAGTAAATTATATGTGGCGAGCAAACATTAAAGACAGAAGTTTACGTTGGAAATGTGGGTGCTAATCTACTGGCTGCTGTTATTAACATTCTCTTGCAAACAGATATTTGCCAACAACACTGAAAACAAGCCCTCGTGAATAACTTCATTATTATAATTTGTGCACCAAAGTCATTTTATTTTCATCACAGAATGATTTCCAATCTAACCGTAGGAAGTTGTTTTCTTTACAGAAGCATAACAGAGGGATGAAGTTGCTCTCTACTGGTAACTTTTAGAACTGCATTACTTAATACCAACTGCTTTAAATTTTACATCAACTGTTTAGAATTAGCAGCAGATAACTATATCTTACCCTAGGCAAAGATGATTCTGGATAGATTGGGAAAATCCAGACTAACAGCCTGCTGATGTATGCTTAAAGGATCACTATAGTGTCAGGAAAACAAACTCGTTTTCCTGACACTATAGCATCCTTAGGATGCTACACAAATAAGTGTAATTGCATAAGGCTCTACCAAAAATATACACAGGTGTAATAATTATGAGGGTTAATGTAGATTAGATGGGCCAATAGATTCTTAAAAACTATCCCAATTTTTTATGCTGGTGCTTTTTTAGTAAATATTTTATTTATAAACACAATCCGGTAACAACCAGTTGGAGAAATAGTGGAACATAAACTAATAAAATAGGCCACTGAAAAATTTTAATTAACAGTAGCATTAACAAAAGCATAATCACACACATGGAAATATGAAAGAAAGATATTCTATCAAAGAATAATCAGTGTAATTGGATATAAGAATGATCTGCATGCCTCTGGATAAAAGAATATGGAAAAAGACATAACTTGTAAAAAGATACTGTTACTGATTAAATTGCTTAATCCATTTTAAGGCTACAGTCCAATTTATCTTTTGATAATTAGCAATGCAGTAGTGCCTCACTTTGAGCTGTTAATTAATACTTTTCAACAACACTTTCACCTTTATCAATTTCATGAAAAAGTGCCATATACCATGCTCACCATCCCTGGCCCATTAACCGAAACCATCTAATGCTAGCAGGCTTATTTACTATAGGGAGAACTGACTTTTAAAAATAGCCAAACCGAGAATATAATTAACTTGGAACATGTTTCTAATTTGGCTTTTTCAAATTCCATTTGAATAATTTTGAATTGCCAGCAAGTCTGACTTTTGTGAATAACTCTGTTAGCAAATTCAATTTCTAAAAGGACTTAAAAGTCAAATGTAGAAATACCCAATATACCTAGGATTTAAATACATTTTCAGAAATGATAAAATTAATACTGCAAGGAGTGAATTACGATTTAAAGCAAAAATTTAGCAAAATTTGGCATGATGAGTTACAACTTTAATCGTAGTCAGACAATCCAAAACTGCTATACAGAAGTATATATTTGTAGAAAGTACATTCCCCATGCTATGTAACTAAGATAATTTTTACACTTTTCATTTAATCATTTTATTATAAACCTAAGTCGAAATAGTTAATTTGTTTGTGTTTTTTTTTTTTTGTCCATATGTTGTATATTGGTAAAATTTACAGATCACACGTGACCCACTAATTTAAAAACTCTATATTTGTATTTTGCCACTATTGTCGAGTACAATGATACCCCACATGTATAGCTTTTTCCCTAATCCTACCTCTAATATAATTCCTAACCTTAATCCAACCCTTATCCAACCAATCTTTAGTACAACCCCTAATCCAGCCCTTAATCCAACCCATCATTCAACTCATAATCTAAAAGTTTTTCCTACCCCTAGTACAACTTCTAATACTACCCATCAACATCTGTTTAGAAGTAACTTAAAGAAACACACACTGCATTGTCCAAATTGAGCATAATAGGTTAAATGACACACCTGTTACCTATTCACATCATTAATGCACTTGGCTGTCTGTAAAGTTAAGTCAGTATTAAGTCGATTATATTTTCTGACTTTCTGGCATTACTGGCAGTAAAGTGGTCTTTTGCTTTTGGATTGTGATTGCTTCAAAAACTGCAGCACAATTGCTAACAAAAGTTGAAAACATTAGAGGGTGTGTGTGTGTGTGTGTATACGGATGGCGGCAAGATCTCACATTGCAAAAAGTTAGCTTTCGACAACAAATTAATTTGTGCAAGAACTAATACGACATATATTATTAGTAGGGACATGCAAATCGAACATAACTCAATATCACCACAAAGCAGTTGGAGAAATCAAATATGGGAAAACTGGGCTTTGAAACACCCCACTTAGATATACTTATTCATAGACATCCTCTGACCTCATTAGTTTTACAACACACCAAGAGGCACCAGGCTACTCACACAGGCACACACTGGATTAGCTGATTCTCACTCCTAGATTCTAAACTCTAACTTCTGAAATTAAACCTTTTCTTAGACCTAACCGGCAGGAAACCCTATAACCTACCCTTGCTTTTCGTTCCATGGCATTCGTTCCCACCTTGCTCGCCCTCTCCCATCTAACTCCAAATCCTTTTTTCAACTCCCTGCTGTTCCATGACATTGATAGATATATATTGATTAAGATCTTACTACCCCATCAGGAGCCCATAAGCGTACTTGCCCAGTATCCAGCAAAGGGCAAAATACATCCTATCACTGTCAATAGGATAAACCGCAAGATTGCCTATAACCCTAGGTTCATATCCAGGAATCAGACCCAATACAAACTGGACAGGATCGAGAATGTAGACGCTGACATACCCACACAAGTTTTATACATTGTATATAGGAGTCTGAAAATATAACCATTGACGAGTGTATATTATAAGTCGAGTTTCAGGCACGTCATGTAATATGCCACTATACTGTTTACTCTACGTTGCTTCTTATTTTGTGTTATGGTCCCAGACAATATACATGATAAATGCCGTTGTTATATATGTACTGAATTTGGAACTGATGTTGACAACAGAGCATATGTTTTTTGTCTAACCCCCTTTCCCCCTTTCTTTTTATCTGTACCCCATACACCTTTTAACTGACAAAAATAATAAAAATAAATAAATTTAAAATATAAATATATATATATATATATATATATACACACTTCAAGGATAATGTTTAATATTTCTTTTATTTTAATAAAATTGAAAATATGGCCATATCTTGCTACCCTAGATGATTGGGTAAGTTATAAACATATATATATATATATATATATAAATATATATTCCTTATTCCAGACCCCTATTTAAACCTCCACAGCAGAGAGTTCCAAGAGGATGGATTTCCCTATTCAGTTGATTAGGCTAAAAAGAGGAGGCATTAGGTTGCTAGAATACTGCTAAAAATGGTGTATATTGGCGTTGTGGCAGGCTCCGCACTCATCCAGGAGAGTCACTCAAGAAATGAGCTGTAGACAACCTCCATATATAGTATAAAATTAACAATAGGTCCAGACACACAAAGGCTCAATCGAAATTAGCTTTATTGTGTCTCCATGTATAAAGAAAGCCGCAATGTTTCTACTTCACGTTGAGGTCTTTATCAAGCTAGACAAGGACCTTAGATGGACACTATATTCACCAGAAAAACTACAGCTTATTGTATTTGTTCTGGTTAGTATAGTCAGTCCCTGCAGGCTTTTTACAGTAAACACTGTCTTTTCAGAGAAATGCAGTGTTTATTTTACAACCTAGAGATACCTCCATTGGCCATTCTTTAGATGGCTAGTAGAGGTGCTTCCTGGGGCAGTGCTGCACAGTGTGCAGCACTGCCATTTAGTGTCTCCACCCTCTGCATGGAGACCCTGAACTTTCCTCATAGAGATACATTGATTCAATGCATCTCTATGAGGAGATACTGATTGACCAGTGCTTTGTTTGGCTTATGCTGGCTCTGTTCCTGATCTACCTCCTTGTCAGTCTCAGCCAATCGAATTCTCTCCTATGGGAAAGCATTGTGATTGGCTTAGATCAACACTACTGATGATGTCAGCCAATGAGGCAGATCAGGGGTAGAGCCAGCAGTAGCAAACTGGAATAAAGGTTATATTTTACTATATTTAGGGGGGCAAGGAGGACGGCTGAGGGGATTGATAGTGTTTTTAACACTATAGGATCAGGAATACATGTTCGAGTTCCTAACCCTATAGTGTTTCTTTAATGTAAGATTGAAACAATGCTGTTTGTATGTTTCTTAGTGGAGGGATATATAAGGAAACTAATGGAATAAACCTGCAGATTCCACAGGTTTTCTACAATTCTATACTTTGCCCTACTTTTCTACATTTATATAAACCATCAACATTGCTTTTAGTGTCCCTTGTCCTCAGTGCCAGCCGATATACATGTGTCAGTTGAAGTTGAAATGTATGAGATTTGCACTCTGAGCAGGAAAACTGGCAATCAACTTGCTAATATTTAGGTCAAACAATGATATTAAAAAAAGATACTTCAGGGGCGTGGCCGGGACACGGAGCGAGCTTGACGCGTGTGAGTGAAGCTCCGCTCCGACAGCACCGCTTGCAGCTCACATCAGCACGCAAAACTGAGCCAGAATCGCCGACATGGAGAAGCGACTCCCTAAGAAGCCCCCCAAGCGGGTGGCCGAGCCCAGAGCCACAGTAGCGGATCTCTTTGCCTGCTCCCGCCAAAACCCGACGGGCTCTCAAGATGGCGCCGGGTCTGAAGCTGGCGCCATGACAGCGCCTCCTCTCCCTGCTCCAACTCAGGGGACACAATTTAAAGCCGCAGACACCAACCAAATCCTGTCTAAGTTATCTGAAGTCAAAGCTTACCTGGCTGGCGAAATTGAGCGCTCTACACAGGTGCTTCAAAATGAAATACACTCCATTGGGGACCGCACCACTAGACTGGAGCAACGCCTCGAAGCCACAACCGTCGCACACAACGCGGCCATACAGCAGGTAAATGCTTTAACTGACAGGCTCACTAATGCGGAACTTGCTATAGAGGACATGGCGAATAGATCCCGCCAAAATAACCTACGCCTGCGGGGCCTACCAGAGCGACAGGGGGAGGGCCCCATTACGGAGCTGGTAACCCAGATTCTCAAACCACTGCTGCCAGAGCTCCCTGACCATCTCTGGATTATTGAACGCGCTCATAGGGCTCTGCGCACGAGACGGGCAGAGACAAATACCCCCAGGGATGTCGTGATTCAATTTTTGCATTTCCAAACAAAAGAAGCCCTGCTGCTCAAAAGCCGAGAAGGCCCAGTACGATACCAAGGCCACGAGCTCGCTATCTACCAAGACTTGGCCCCGACCACGTTGCAGCGCAGAAGAGAGTGGAAGCCTATCACGGACACGCTGAGGGACCAAGATATCAAATATGCTTGGGGATACCCCTTTAAACTACTCATCTTCCGAAACAACAAAACACATATACTGCAACCGGGGGACGACGCAGCAGCCTTCCTGGCGGGCCTGGGGCTCCAGGCGCCGACAAACTTGCCCCCCGCGATCGCCACCCGGGGAGAGCTCCGGGATCTACCACTGGAATGGCTACCAGCAGGAGAGTAAGGTACCAGGGCCCCAAATACACATGCACGAACACTTACGGGAGGGCCGCTCAGCACATTGGGAGGGGGTCGGGGTGAAGTTTCTGGGCACCACACCACCAAATGACACTATGACTAAATGGAGAACTCTTGCTCTTGACCCATTCCACAGCCTAAAGTGCTGCCATTATCAGAGGGCTGGGGAACGCACATTGTCCTTCCAGTATGAGGCAGCGCATATGGCCCCACAGGGGCGTGCGTAGGGTCATACCCAGAGGAACTATGCTCCCAGCAGACAGGCAAGAGCACCGAGGACAAACTATCCCAGCTATAAGCAGGATCACCTAGACACAGACATTCTGCGGACACTCTGTACCTCTTGATGGCCGGATTGACACTTGGGCCCTGCCCACCTTCCTGAGGGGGGATGAGATTTTTTATCCAAAAGGACATGGCTTCGACGCACACCTTGAGGGGGCATACTTACTACCATTTAACACTACCACTACTTTTAGGCAGGATGCCCCCCGATGTGGTACAACAAGCTCATCTAACACTGGAGGGTCTACATAGGAGAGGTCTGACAGCACGGTGGGAGGTATCTGACCCATGGGCACAATGGCGGGTGTCGCACGGGGGGGTGGGGGCAGGGGGACGACTTAGTCGACTCCTTCAGGGTCTGAGAGCCCACACGCTTCATATAACACTATAGGGTGAGGCCCGGACGGGGGGTCTTGAACATGGGGGCTCCACTAGACGGCGGACACAGGGACAGCCTAGATAGTCTGACCCGGCCTTCCTCCCCCTCCGCCCCCCCCCCCATGGTTTGGGACGATGCCCACCCCAGGGGGATGGTGGAGACTCCAGACCTTCACATTAACACTACAAGACTGAAGCTCCCCACATTCACGCTACAAGACGTTGACTGGCCTCCGGGGGCCCCGGTGACACGGGGGAGTACAGGTGTAATGAACTAGCATTGATAGGGATACGCTGTGCTTGAGAGGGGATAGCCTGGTTTTCTCAGTTATGGTTATAAGCGGTGAAGTCACACCCAGTGACATTTATTCACAATTCATCTACCCATGGTTAGGGTGATGAGCTTGGGAATCACACCCCATATTGTTCTGGCTTTGCATAAGACCAGATATTTACTGTTGTTTTATTTTCTCTATGTCTTTACTCTATTCTTTTTCCTTACATTCCTTACCTATTTCTCATCGGGCACCAGAGCCGCAGGGAACCCAGGGATCGAACTTGCACAACCGTCCCGACCAAGGGACTATAGAGGTAGACTGAGACAGCAATCATACCATACGGTTCCATGGCCGTCAAAGTGGTGTCCATAAACGTGAAAGGCCTGAATGCCCCCAAAAAGAGGAGGCTGATGTTTAAAGAAGTGAAAAGGATGGGAGCAGATGTCGCCTTCCTTCAGGAGACACACTGTGGGGATATTTATGGGATAGTAATAGTAAACAGTTGAGAATTGCCCACTAATTCAATTCTCAGATCCCAAAGAACGTTTATCGTGTTAAGTGGAATGTATTTCATATAAATAATATCACAATGTATAAAAATAGATTTTTATTTATAATGACAAGTTAATTAATAATAACATGTAACATGCATGACAATAATCAATGAATATCCAGTATAACATGATATGCAATACAAAGGAATGGCTAAATAGCATTTCCTGTCAAGAATTCTGACGATTTATGAGGTATCCTCACAGACTGAAAAAGTTTCACTCAGAGAACAGAATTCTTCAGAGTGCAGCGTAAGGTCGTAAAGTTTAGCTGACAGTTAGAATAACCCTTTCAATGCTGGCTAGATCTCCTAAGTAGTTAAGATCTATTCTTATGTAATTTTAAATAAAATAACATTTAAACCAGTTCATTAGTCATTTCCTGGAACCATCCAATAAGAGAATCTACTATGATTTTATATAAGCAGAATTTAATTTGTCTAAAAGATATCTTATCTTAAATTAGAGCAAATCAATACACCTGGATAAAAACAGCGGTATGCTAACACGTGATAATATCACATTAATATATAATTATTCTTAATTCCACCTGCAGAATGGAATGTTTATAACTATATATTCTTAGTTAACTAAGATTTCTTAATATGGAAATCTGACCGTGCTTTATCCAGTCATATATAATGCTATTAATACATTTTAATTAATTTAATTAATTAAATGAAACCAGTATAATTACCAGTTGAGTAGATATTTCATCCGATTGGTAGTCTCAGGAACTTATTTGGATGTCTCTCTGCATGGAGGTGTTGGTTAGAAAGTCAGTAAATTCTAAGTGTTAGAGTTTTAGGAGTAGAGTGTTAGTCTCAGATGTTGTCCGAGTTGGAATCCCCAAACTTCCAATTCCTCTCTCCTCTTTTTCTTTCTCCTTTGCATCTCTTGCATACCCTGCCCTTTGTCCTAACTTTTAAAGTTACTCTCTGTACGTCATCAGTTGATAACCCAATAGAAGCACTAGAGGTGTGGTTATCTTCCAGATCGCAATTTAGTTATTTGATCTATAGAGGGCAGTCTTGTCCCACTAAACATACCTATCCAGGAAAGAGTTAACTTTTCCTGGTGGCTATTTTGACGTCATGTTGCGTTATCTTTATAGTGCCATAATTAAAAATTTCAAAGGGTTTCTTAAATTTTGTCCAGACTTAGCGTCTGCAATTCCTGCCATAATTTCTGATATGGCAGATCATGAACTAAGTTTACCCTTTTCCATACAATGGTGCCTTATATATATATAGACAGTAAAATTAAATTATTTAATCTTCTCTGTCACAATTGTCTGGGTTTAGATTTGATTATATTCCATTAGCATTTTAGACAGTCTATCCAACCCCCGTTTCTGCTTATCACTTGGTTTGTTTATAGTATACATTCCTTTAGCTCCGGGATAGTGGCTAGTTTTACAGAAAGAAATCTTGTGTCTTTTTTTGTTAACTTGAAAATAACAAAATGGAGTCTGGTCTGTTCAGAGTGACTCAGAATATACACTTTTAGTTTCTATCATAGCACAAGATGTCTGCCGATATAAATACCCTGACAACACATGGCGAGACACGCGACCATTAAAGTAAGTGATCGCACCTACACTACTACGCACGAAGCTAGGTCCCTACAAAAGAGGAATGGGGTGGCTATACTGATACGTAACACGTGCCCCATTCACGTTTCCAAGGTACACGCAGACCCGGAGGGGAGGTACATTATTCTGACGGGCTCCATACATTCGCACACGATACACATGATAAACATTTATGCCCCAAACACCCCAGACATTGCGTTCTGGAAGGAATTACAAACTAAACTACATGCCCTACCGCAGGGCATAATATTCATGGGGGGTGACTTTAATGCTGTACCGTGTCCAGCTGCCGACAGGAGCTCCAGAGCGGGTCAGCTGAGATCCCATGGCAGAGGACGACAAGACAGGGCTCTATATGAATTTATTAAATCAACTGGCCTCCTGGACGTCTGGAGGGCGCAGCACCCTGACGCAGTAGACTATACATTCTATTCGGCCCCGCATGGAACATACTCAAGAATCGATTTCTTCTTGGTAAACGATGCGGGCATGGCCAGAGTGACGGACTCGACCATCGGGTCGATCACGTGGTCAGACCATGCGGAGGTCACGGTGACGCTGGGGAACCTATGCATGGCCTCGCCCTGGAATTGGAAACTAAGCTCCAGCCTACTCCGTGACCGGCAAACACAAAAGACAATTAGACAAGATATACGATTATACTTCGCGGAAAATACGACGGAAGAGGTCACACCTAGCACAGTATGGGCCGCACATAAGGCAGTGATTAGGGGCACATGTATTCGTCTGGCTACCCAAAAGAAAAAGCAGAAAATGCGGCAATTGAACCAACTACTGGAGACGCTTCGACAAGCGGAGCAGAAACACAAAGCGACACCAACTCCCCGCTTAACCGCCGACCTGAAGGATATAAGGAGATCAATTTCTGAACTGTTGCTGGACGACGCCGCCCGAGATCTCATATGGTCCAAGAGAAACTTTTACGAAAAAGCTAACAAAAACGACACCCTATTAGCAAGGGTACTAAAGCCTAGTCAGAGACGAACTCATATCGGAGCAATGAAGCAAACAGACGGCACCATCAAGAATACACCGGCGGGTATTGCCCAGATATTCACGGAATACTATAGAGCACTATACAACCACACACCCAAAAATGTAGATCAAGTACAAGAGGTGAATGATAAAATGGATACATTTCTGCAGAATATTCAACTACCGAAGCTATCGGCAGACGCGATCCACAGGCTAGACGAAGACATAACCAGCGAAGAAATTGACAGAGCCATAGCAAGCTTAAAGAGCCACAAAGCCCCGGGCCCCGATGGCTTAGACGGAGGATATTATAAGACGTTTCAGGAAGAGCTAACTCCCCACCTCACGGGACTATTTAATAATCTTATGTCAGGTGGGAACCCAGAGAACGAGATGTCCCTAGCTAACATAATCCTTATCCCCAAACCGGGCAAGGACCCGACGATACCGGCGAGCTACAGGCCCATTTCCCTTATTAATCAAGACGTCAAGATCTTGGCAAAAATACTAGCGGACCGCCTCAATCCCATCCTGAAAACACTGATACATGCAGACCAGGTAGGGTTCATACCAAATCGTCAACTCTTTGAAAATACCAGGAGAAACATAGACATTATATGGAGACAGAAAACGGCCAGGATCCCCACCCTAGTAGTATCCATAGACGCTGAAAAAGCGTTTGATAGAGTAGAATGGCCCTATCTTTTTAATCTCTTATCATTTCTAGGCTTCCCGACGAAATACATATCTTCCATAAAAGCGATGTATAGCAACGCAACAGCCCAAGTTAAAATCGCAGGCACGTGGCCCCAACCCTTTAGATTGGGAAACGGCACTCGCCAGGGCTGTCCTCTTTCCCCCTTGTTGTTTGCAATATCATTAGAGCCCTTACTACAGGCCATAAGGGAACATCCACGGATAAAAGGTGTTAGGGTGGGAGGCCAAGAATTTTTAGTATCTGCATATGCAGATGATGTCCTCCTTACAATAACAGAGCCAATGGAATCAATGGATGCAGTAGCTGAGGTTCTTACACAATATGGAGCCTTCTCGGGGTACAGAGCCAATCTCGACAAATCTAGCGCTCTCCCAGTGGGAGTGTCGGCGGCGGACACGGAGGCAATACGAGCAGCACACAACATCCCCATAGCACGCGGCTACATTAAATATCTAGGAATACACTTGCCAGACAACCCAGCTAATATTTACCACTTAAACTATACCCCCCCTCTTTAAGACACTTATATCAGACATGGAAAAATGGATAGACAAGCCTATCTCCTGGATAGGTCGCATAAATGCAGTAAAAATGAATATTCTTCCCCGAATACTATTTCTTTTCCAAGCCCTCCCTATCAAACTCAGTAAAGCTGACCTATCCCCACTACAACAAGCAATTGGGAAATTCATTTGGCAAAACAAGAGACATAGGATTTCGAGAAACATCCTATTTCGACATAAACAAAGGGGGGGACTGGGCCTCCCACAATTATATTATTATTATCTTGCAGCCTAACTTGCACAGATAGCGATGTGGCATGCCCCGTTAGATGTGAGGAGATGGGTGGACTTGGAGTCCCTACTCACGGGAGCGGATTTACCCCAATATCACATATGGGTCCCACGAGAACATAGAATTATGCTACGAATGACCTGCCCAGCGATTTTAAACTCCCTGAGGATATGGGACGCCACAGCAAACAAATACAATTTAATCTCCAATCCGTCACCACTGATCCCTCTGCTCAGAAATAGAGCCTTCCCTCCGGGTATGGTGGCCAGGGATTTTGCCAACCTAGAAACTGCAGGCCTACAGAGGATCTGCCACATGTATAGGGACAATACGCCAGTCACATTTAACGACCTACAACAGACTACACACCTCACCCCCGCGGACTTCTTTAGATTCTTACAACTTAGGGACTACATGAAAGATCCATACTTACAAAACGCAGCCAGAGGGCACATGTCCTTCTTTGAAAACATGTGCCTCCGCGAAACGACACAACCAGGTTTGATATCAAAACTATATGCACATCTTAGCTCTGAAACAAAAGAATGGGGCACGCTCACCTACACTGAAGCATGGGAAAGGGAATTGGGAGAGGAACTCGAGGGCACAGACTGGAGGGAAATTTGGGAGGCCAACGCCTCAGTGTCCATGTGTGTCTCCCTCCAGGAACAGGCAACTAAAACGCTCCTCAGGTGGTATGTCATGCCAGTAACATTGCACCGAATGGGGAAAACCCCGTCGAACGACTGCTGGAGGGGGTGTGGCCTGAAAGGTACATACCTCCACATGTGGTGGGAATGTCCCCGGCTCCAAGGCTTCTGGAGGGAGACCCAGACTCTCATAAAACGCATTTTCCACAGAGCACCAGACCTGAACCCATGGACATTTCTCCTCAATAGACCCTTAGATAATTGGACACGTAGAGAGCAAAAACTCCTACATAAGGTGACGCTGGCAGCACGGAGAGCTCTGGCGCAAGCATGGTTGAAGGTAGAAACACCTCCCCCGAGTGCAGTTATTCATAATATAAAAGACATACACCTTATGGATAGCTTAACGGCTTAAGTCCGAGGAACTGTCTCACAGTTCGAGAAAACATGGGAGCCATGGACCACTAGCGACTTGACTGGAGAAACCGCTCAATAATAGAACAGGGCGAGCACTATGCACCCATACTGGACCAACCCTAGAGGAGTTCCTCTGGGACTGAGACGAAAACCCTGGGTGGACTGGCCCCGACACCCGGCGCTCTGGTGACCCTAACCTACTGCCTTCCCTCTATCTCTGTCTCTTATAGTCTCTCTCTCCTTTAGTTCTACTGGTTATGGAAAATGGAGCGACCCCAACGCTCCACGCTGCAAATCATTTAGTTGACACATCATACTGTTGTAACACGAGACAACGACAGCATACTGCCAAGCTGGCCTGCCGGCCACTTCTTTTTCTAAGAGGCACTAAAACTTGGTCTAAATATTTGGCATTGCGCCCCACGTAACATAGGATAGGTGCGGTCCATTATGCACTTATCGAAAATAGTATACCTCCTTCTCCAGCACTACACACTCCTAATTAACAGATTCTGGAAGGACCCCTTTGGGACAGAGATAGTACATCGGGGCTAACTGGTAATAGCAGCTTATGTCCTGATGACCCCACTCTTCTACCTTTCCTATATTCTCATTCTTTCCTACTTTTCTACTTACTCCTTCCACTAGTTACTGGGACTGTGGAACAGCCCCAAAGTTCAAAGTTGAAAATTACGTTGTGACAACATAATAATATTATAGGTGAGGAGATGAAGGCATCATGACAAACTGGTCTGCCGACTAACTTACCTGTTACAAGGCGTTGCACTGGGCTTACATACTGAGCATCGCGCCTTCCATAACGCAACACTGGCAATGTCTATTTTATGCTTTGACTATGTCATATGTCTTTGTCTTTGCTTTATTATTCTTTCAAAAATAAAGTTTTCAAAAAAAAAAAAAGATACTTCAAATAGCTTAAATTTACCCACATTTTTCAACTCACCACAGGCCACACATACCTATTCACTATATCTATACCTAGGGAGAAATAACAAGGGAATTTAAAGTTTGGGCCACGATAACTAAATATGAAACATTCTACAATTTATTTTATTTTCCAGCTTATTTCTTGCCCAGTTGTCACAGAGATCTCTGTTCACAATTCCTTATTTAGTAAAAACAAGCTACATTTTAGGTTTTATTTTCAGCATTGTCTAAAGTAAATCTTTTTTATATTTGTGGCAATTAAATTGTTAACATCATAGAGGGGTTTTTGTACATATCATGTTGTCTTGTTTCATGTAATACCATTTACTCCATATTTAGATGCTTTTCTTGGTTGCTACACATATTATGACAGTCCCTGTGGTTTTAGCATTTTTTTTAAATAAAGTTATTACAGGCATTAATAAAAAAAAAAAAAAAGCATCTAAATCTGGGGATCTACCTTTTGGACACCCCTGGGATACACTTATTCTAGTGGTACCACTATATTATTCCCTTTCTTTCTGAGATTCTTAATATCATTTTGAAACTGACACATACAATTACTTGGCAATGGAAGTGACAAACAATACTTTAATTAGAATATTGGTTAATTTATTACTGAGTCTGAACTTCATCCATTTCAGTTCTTTTATTGTTGAATGCCTACAGCAAAGCAAATCTATCTAAGAGCAGACAATACACTTCATATTAGACCTCTGAAACCTGTATGAAGTAGATTAATAATTTGAAATAGAGCCCTAGCCCCCCTTCCACAACCTAAGCAGGAACAAGTATATTGTTTGTACACTAAGCATGTTACAGGCTTTGGCACAAGAGGTTTTATGAAGGTAAGAATTTTTGTTTATGTGATACTTTCACATATCATTTTATTATCTTTACAAACGTGGTAACATTTATTTATTAGGAAAAGGCAAGCACAGTACTTTTCATACATTTTTTGTACAAGTTACTATCCATACTCTCTGGATTTGAGTAAGTCTAGACACATTTAATAAGCATTGCAAAAAAAGTATTTAATCCTCTAATCGGCTTAGAACACCCCCAACATTCACATTTTTGGCAAAGTTAAGACCCACTTGTTTGGGTACCGACTAAGCATTATTTGAATAATATTACAGCTCTTCCAGAAGTTTAAAATGATTTTGCTAGCAGGACTGTTTGCCCACAGAATACAGGATGAGTGGAGGATTTTGCCAGTTTGAGGTGATATAACGTTGTGAGTTAGATAATATATTCTCACAATCAAATGGCATAACCTCATTTCCTATTTCCGTTCTATTATGTATGTCAACTTGATGAGCATGAGAAGCATATTCCATATTCAGCATGCGTCCATATGTGATTCATAAACCCGATTGCTCTGGCTGAGGATTATGAATGTTATGAACGATGTACTATTAACTACAGTATATACTATTGAGAAGCTGTTTTACAAATCTAAGCCACAGGGAAAAAAATCACGGGAAGACAATTATAAGAATATATTGCCAAAATGCACAAATCATCCCTAATAACTAATTTGGACTGGAATAATATTGTTGACCCTTCATTCATGAAGGCTGTTGTGTGACGACCATTTCCTCCTTTCTTTCTTAGCTCTTCCGTGATCCTTTCAAAGTAATATTGTCATAGTCACCTTCATCATGCATCTCATTGCCCCATTCATCAATTTCTCCTTCTTGCTTCTCTTTTTTAGAGTTAGTTCCTCCACCCCTAGGCACAGCATAATCATCCCAGCCTGGCAAATATGGATATTCATACCCAGTTTCAAAGGCATCGGTGGCCTGGGTCTTCCAAGCTTCAACTCTCATACTCTCGGGCTCATCATACACTGGATTTGAAGGCACCTCTGGCTCATCATATATATGCTCTGCTTTGTGACTGTTCTTGATCTTTCCCTGTGCAGGAGGGACAGGTCCAAGCAGACCCCCAAATCCTGTAGCCAAAAGGTCACGGGCCACTTTATCAAAGGGTATAGCATATTCACTTTCTAAAAGAGTACTTTCAGTGTTACCGCTGCCTTGAGAACAAGGAGGTGGTTGAGAGATGGCCTTTCGTAGAGATGGGGCTGATGGGCGTGTTCCTGGATTCGTTACTTCACTGTACTGTTCATATCCACTTGTGGAGGAATTATCTTTGCGTTGAGAGCTGATGGCAGTTTCGATTGCCTGAAAGATCTGACTCCCAAGGGGTGTCTCAAATTCAAACTGTCCCTCTCCAGAAGTGCAGCGACGTCCAGCCTCAAAAGAAAACATAGTCTGGGAAAAGGAAACGAGAAATTATGTGTGACCATAATCATAATAATTTATATGACAGAAGCAGCATCACATTCAAGTGATCTCTGAAAGACTCATCAGTATCAGATTAAAGTGCTGTATAATGTGGAAGCATTTTAAAATTAGTATTCTGTCTATGTGTGCAGCAGTCTCAACTTTAAAGTGCCCTATTTGTACACAAATATATGTCTTATATGTCTTATATTACTTTATATAACTATATTAATACTGTAGTAAATGAAAAAAAATTTAAGGTTATAAAATAGACAGGATAAAATGAAGGTGCTTCAATCACCTTGGTGAGTCACTCAAACACTAACAAGTGAATAATAAACAATAAACAATTGGTGAGAGCACACTATACACAATAAGAACTTTACCCTTAGTAGTGTGAAAATGTATAACTTATTCAGTGCTCAAAGAGGTCCTCCAGACAAAACATGAAAACAGGAAAAAACGCACATAGGGTAGTAACGTTTAAATCTAGTTAATACTTTTGACTTGGTGGAGGTTTCACTCACATGATTTTGAGCCACTTAATATAAGCTGGCTCAAACTACAGGCAAGAAATAATGTAAGCACATGGTCTCCACACACCAGGCTGCTCCCCCTCCGTGGTCCTTCCGTTATATTCAAGTATTTCCAGGATGCAAGGAATTGAAAATAACAATTTATTGGACACAATAAAAAAATAGGGTTAAAACAATAAGAGGTCCACTGTGCAAAAAAGCAAAGACTTGACACGTTTCAGCCTAGGCCTTTATCAAAAGTCTAAATTTCTTCCTCTTTCGCAATCACTTAAATATGTCCAGTTTTGGTGCCCTTTTAAATTTTGGCGCCAATTCTTCTGACTTCCGGTATCGGGGCTGCATCCTCTGCCCTGACTTTCCTCCGAAAACACTTCCAGTTCACATTCCATAGCGTCTGACACAACTTCCGGTTCCCGTGTCATGACGCACTTCTGGTCTGACGTACTTCCGATTCGGACTTGAAATTATACAGTTTGCCAGTGCTCAAAATGTCTTTATCGGCATTGCACATTGGCAAACTTTTACAATAAAAAAACAGCTTAAAACATCATTATTATACATTTATACTTAGAAAATACACATTTCTTTTAACCATATCTTAACTAAAATAAACTTAAAGGAGGTATTTAACCTATTTCCTCTTAATAACAGCAGTATTGTCTCCAATCAAGGGACAACATAAACATAAAAACAAAACAAGAAAGGGGGAAAAGGGAAGGGAGAGAAAAGAAAGAAAAAGAAAAAAGAGAATTAATTAACTGGTTATAACTCTTTAAAAAGGAGACTCAAACTCCATAGGTATCAGGTAATAGATAATTCTAGTAGTCCTTTAAAATATAAATGACATGTACAAAAAGTGTCACATGTAACAGGTATTAGATAATATATAATTAAAATGGTCATATTGAGATCAACCCATCTTAAATATAAATAGGAAATCAACAAATAGTCTAAATCAGACTAATGGCATTCCCTTAGGGGCTATATTAAATTAAAAATAAAAATGTACTAAAATTAATTTCCAATAAATATATATATGCATAAAACATATATACATACAACCTTTAAGAAAACTTAAAAAAAGAGGTATATTAAGGGTAAATAACTAGATAAAAAATACTATATATATGGGTCGACATTCAACCCCTGGGGTGTTAATGTATCAATGTCGAAAATCCACTTCATTTTATTTCTATTCAGTAGGCGTTCCTTATCTCCTCCTCTCCAGTGCACTTTTATTTGTTCTATTGCAGTAAAGTCTAGATTATTTGGATCTGCGTTATGGCATTCCAAAAAATGTTTTGATACACTATGATTTTCATACTTTTGACTAATGTTATAGATGTGTTCCCTAATTCTAATTTTTACACAACGTGAAGTCCTACCTATGTATTGTAAGCCACAAGGGCAGATGAGCATATATATGACATGCTTACTTTTGCAAGAAATAAAAGATCTAATATTATACTTTTTTTTTTTTGTGGTATTTGATGTGAATTTTGAAATCTTTTTATGTTTATCTTTCCTCAATTTACACCCCCTACACTTGCCACAATACAAAAAAAACCCACTGGCTTGTTTTAAAAAGTTATTAGTCCCTTTATCCTCAACATTTAAAAACTTTTTGTTAAAATCTGTTTTAGGTTCTTTGCACCTCTGAAGATTAATTTCGGTTTATCTTCGATAAAATTAGACAACTTATCATCTGATTTTAAAATGTGCCAATTCCAGGGGGCGTGGCCTGGGCTCCGACGAACATGGCCGCCTAAACGCTGAGCTCCGCTCCACAACAGCACACAGAACGGAGCACCCCACTACTCACCGGCGTGCACTGCCAC